GACATGGGGACACGGGGACGTGGGGACGTGGGGACGGGGCTCGGCTCCTGATGTCCCCGATGTCCCCAATGTCCCTGCGGTGTCTTCTCCTCTCCCTCCGATGTCCCCGTGGTGTCCCTCTGTCATCTCTTGGTGTCCCCAACGGTCCTCCCGATGTCCCCAACGCCCCTCTGATCTCCCTGGGGTGTCCCCTCTATGTCCCTGATGTCCCCAACGTTCTGTTTGATGTCTCTGATGTCCCCTCTGATGTCTCCCAACGTTCTCCTGATGTCCCCGATGTCCCCGTGGTGTCCCCCGATGTCCCCGGGGTGTCCCCCCTGTCCTTCTGATGTCCTTTGATGTCTCCGATGTTGTTCTTGATGTCTCCGACGTCCCTTCTGATGTCTCCCAACGTTCTCCTGATGTCCCCAACACCTCTGTGGTGTCCCCGTGGTGTCCCCTGATGTCCCCCTGATGTCCCCGTGGTGTCCCCCCGTCACTCTGATGTCCTTTGATGTCCCCAATGTTGTGTTTGATGTCCCCAACGTTGTGTTTGATGTCTCCCAACGTTCTCCTGATGTCCCCCACATCCTCGTGGTGTCCCCGCGGTGTCCCCCGATGTCCCCATGGTGTCCTCCCATCACTCTGATGTCCTTTGATGTCCCCAACGTTGTGTTTGATGTCTCCCAACGTTCTCCTGACGTCCCCCACGTCCCCGTGGTGTCCCCGCGGTGTCCGTGTGGTGTCCCCCGGTGTCCCCGTGGTGTCCTCCCATCACTCTGATGTCCTTTGATGTCCCCAACGTTGTTTGATGTCTCCCAACGTTCTCCTGATGTCTCCCAATGTTCTCCTGACGTCCCCCACATTCCCGTGGTGTCCCCGTGGTGTCCCCTGATGTCCCCATGGTGTCCCGTGATGTCCCCATGGTGTCCCCCCGTCACTCTGATGTCCTTTGATGTCCCCAACGTTGTTTGATGTCTCCCAACGTTCTCCTGATGTCTCCCAATGTTCTCCTGACGTCCCCCACATTCCCGTGGTGTCCCCGTGGTGTCCCCGCGGTGTCCGTGTGGTGTCCCCGCGGTGTCCCCGGGGCGGTGGCAGGAGCGGAACGCGGAGAACGCCATCGAGGCGCTGAAGGAGTATGAGCCGGAGATGGGGAAGGTCTATCGCGCCGACCGCAAGGCCGTACAGCGCATCAAGGCCCGCGACCTCGTCCCCGGGGACATCGTGGAGGTGGCCGGTGAGGGGACAGCGCGGGGACGTCGGGGGGGGGGGACAACAGGGAGGACATCAGGGGACAACCTGGAGGACATCAGGAGGACATCGGGGGGGGT